AAGGAAAAGTGTGCCTGGTGTTTGTAGCACCCAGAAGTGAGATCTCCCTGGGAATCCAGGCATTTCCCTGGCTGCAGGTTCAGGTTTGCACCCAGCAGGGAGAAGAGGCTGGGAAGGAAGATGTGGATCCATGAGGAGGGTGAAAGTTTAGGGAGAATTCTCATTTCTTCTCATTTCTTGTGGGATTCAAAGGACTTAAGAGACTCCCAGTGCTCAGGAATGCCAGGACTGGATCCAGAGCTGACTGACACCTACAGTTCCCACCACCTTGAGGAAAAGCTGGATTTTTGGGCTGGATTTTTGGGCTGGTCCTGCCAGGCAGATGCAGCAGAGCAGGGCCTGGATTTGGGATTTCCTATTGTATTTCAGCTGTGGCCATCAGGTGGCAATCTGACCACTGGGATCATTCTGTGCTGGAGGCACTTTGGGGTGGGTTCTCCTTGGGCTTTCCAAGGTCCTTTGTGATTTAGGGTCGTGTCTGCCAAGCTCTGGGCTGTGCCTGCTGTCAGCTCCTGCCCTGTGCAGGGCACAGAGGGATGGGCAGCCAGGCTCCTGCAGAATTCCCAATGGATTAAGGCAGGATGGAGGGCAGATATTCCTCAGAATTCACCTGATTTAAGGTGAGAAGAGCAGCACAACACCCCGAGGTGATGAACCCTGGCAAAACTAGCTAAGCACATCATTAATGGGAATATTTCCTTCTTGGTTGAGCAGGGCTGGGTTTTGATGATCTGATGCAGCTCCTCTGGCCTACAAAGGGGTCAGAAAAATGACTTTATTTTTGGCCTGAGTCCATAGAAATGGAGACAGAATTCTGTCACCCCAGAGTTAGAAATGTAGGTGATTTTGTTCACTGGAGGTGTGAAATAAAGAATCATAGAATCAGGGAATTCCTTGGGTTGGAGTGACCTTAAAAATGATCCAATTCCAACCCCACTGCCATGGGCAGCTCCCACTAGACCAGGCTGCTCAGTGCTCCTCAAGATATTGCTCAAAGTGCTCAAATTTTACCTGCCTTCCTCACCAGCCAATTGTTTGATTTGGTTTGGTTTGATTGGTTTGTTTTCTTCCCTGGGGAATGTTTCTAAAGGGAAATCACAGTGCAGGAACCTCAGGGCATCCAAGGACCTGTAAAGGTGGTGGTGATGCCCCTCTTTGGGCTGGAAAAGATGTTTGAGGTCACTCTCAAATCACAAAGGGCCTTGAGCTCTTTCTATAGAGCCAGAAAATGGAAACAAGTCCCTAGCCTAATGAATATTTTTTCTGATAATATTTTATTATTATTATTATTGCCACTTAACAAGCAGTTCTAGACAGCACTGAGGTTTTAATACTCACATATGATTTTAAACTCAGCTAGGAATGAGCTGCAAAGTTTGGATAATGATGTAAAAACCCTTCCAACACCCAGTTAATCCCTAAGGAAAAAGCACCTGTTGGTCTGTGCCTGTGTGGTTCCATTCTTAGCTACAAAGTCAAAGTTCTCTGTGAATATTTGTATTTTTTACTTTTCTGCTTGGATATTTCCTTTGGGCCTGAGGCTCCAGGTTCTGAGGCAAAGTGTGAGTTCAGGGGGTGCCTGGCATTCTCCTCCTTGCTTAGAAAATAAAAACACCTGGGTTTCACACAAATATTGAATTATCCAGGCCAGTGAAACTGTAGATTGGTCTGGTGATCAGGCACTGCAATTAATTATTGGGATGTTCTTTAAATGTTCCCAGTGTAGAAGTCAAAGAAGCTCGTTGCAATCTGTGAGTGTAAAAAACGCTCAGTCATTTTAGATAATTGGGTATTTCCACTGCAGAATCAGATATCTCACAACAACAACAATAATTAAACCAGGAATAATGACAATAATGATAATAAAAATAATAATAAACGTATTAAACCCCAAACACAACAAACCCACCCCAAAACCTAAGGCATTATTTCCCCTACCACCATTTCCTTTAACACCAGCCTTGCTTTTGCTTTCATTACAGCCGCTAAATAGATTATTCATGAGGTCTCTCACCACCACTAAACCATCCCTCTCATTGTTGCCAGCCCCTCATTGGTGTCACACAGATTTTCAGCGTCTGCCCATATCTGATTATCTGTGGAAACAACCTTTCAATGAGGCCTTTTTATCGCGTCGTTTCGCCGGGGAGCTTTCAGGGACTAATTTTAGTTTCATGACAATAACAATAAGGTCAAGTTGTATTTCTGTGCTGCTTTTCACCCAGGCAGACATTCCAGAGGGGCAGATGTGGGGCAGAGTGGTTGTCACTGTTGTCACCACGGAGTGGCCACGTCCGGCTCTCCACGGCTCCCAGCTGAGTTGGGATGGAGCTCAGGAGAGCTGGGGGTTGTCCCTGGAAAACGAGATGTTCTCTGCTTTTTTTTTTTTTCTTTTTTTGTATGTGTTTTTTTAATTTAACCAGTTGTGGAATATTTGGGGTAAAGCTGAGAAGAGCCCTGCAGGGGAGAAGGGGTTCAGTGGGGACGATCTAGAAAATTCTGTGGAATAATCAAAACTGAGCCCCAGTTGTTGGATTTCCCCCAAATCCCTGGAATAAACACAGCCTGTGGAGAAGGCCAGCTCCCTCTCCTGTGGAGCTCACCCTGCAGAAAAGGAGGCTCAGGGGGGTGATCAGGGACAGGAGCAGCCTCAGGCTGGGCTAGGGAAGGCTCAGGCTGGAAATCAGGAGGAATTTCCCCATGGAAAGGGTGGTCAGGCCTTGACAGGAGCTGCCCAGGGAGGTGCTGGTGTCACCATCCCTGGAGGTGTCCAAGGAATGCCTGGAGGTGGCACTCAGTGCCCTGGGCTGGTGACAAGGTGGCATCAGTCACAGCTTGCACTTGATGATCCTGGAGGTCTTTCCCAGCCTCAGTGTTTCTGGGATTCTGTGAAATCCACCTGGCAGTGCACAGAAAAAGTGCCAGGTTTGGGCACAGCACAGATTTTCCCAGGCTGTTAATCAATGCTGGGGACAATTTGTTGAACTCGGCACTGGGTTGTGCTGAGGAACCCAACATTCCCACATCTGCCTGGCTGGGATTCAGCTCCCACAGATGCCACCTGGAATCTCTGGTATCAAACCTATTATGAGCTGAAATTGTTGTTTCATTGTTATTTCGTGCCTCTTGCCAGTCCCTGGTCATTTAACAACTGAAAAAACACATTTACCTATCTTTTGATGATTCCTCTTGAAGTATGAGTTCAGTCAGAAAAAAGATCAGCTTCACTGTTAATTAAAATTTAATCAGAACTGCCCTGCTTGTCCCATAGAATAAATTAAATTAACCATGCTGAGTAGTAAGGTATCTTTATACTTTACTTGTATCCTCTGGAAATTTTCACAGGTTGTGCTCCAATAAACCCAGTTTTGCTCTTCAACTCAGTTGGAATTCCTGTTCCTTAAGTGCAAAAGAGGCTAATCATAGAGCAGAAAATAATTTGACTTGCTAATACTGGGTGAGAAAACATTTACTGCAACCACAAATATTTTCAGGATGATGGAGTATCTCATGTTCATGAAAGCTGGGTTCTGGTGACATGTTTGAGTAGGGAGGGCTGCACTTTCTAGCAGAGGAAACCCGTGTCAACTGCAGCAGGCAGCTCCCTGTTCTCCTCCAAAAGCTGCAGCAAAAAAACATTGGCAGAGGAATCAAAATCCTCCTCTTTAGTCGAGTCTGCCACCAGGTTTCTTAGGCATGAACTCCGGAAAATCTTTATTAGGCATAAAAAAAAAAAAAAAAGAAATAGAGGGGGAGATGTGTCTTGCAGACAGAAGGTGCATTCTGAGGTTAGCAAAGAGATGAATTATAAATACCTCAAGTCGAGCCGTGCTTTTTCAGCTATTCTTCCCTGATGGTGCCTAGCTGGGAGCCAGTGAAAAGTGTCATTTTGGTGGGGTGCTGCTCCCCCCTGGTGACATCAGTGGCCAGGCATTAGCTGTGCCCACAAAGCGGCGGTTGTTGGGTTTCTTATCGTGGTGGGAGCTGCTGAGCACGCCCCTGCTGCCTTGTGGCTCATGGAGACAGGGCAAATCTGCTCCCAAAATACTCCAGCTACTTCTGTTGGGTGAGAAATTGTGTTTTTCTTTCCCCCCTTTCATGTTTTACTCCCCCACCACCACGGTTTTTTGGTTTTTTGGATGAGAAAGCTCCGTTTTCATTACATGAATGGCCTTGCTTAGAAATTGATTCCCCTTGGAAAAATTCCCCAAACTTTGTTGCCTTCTGTGTGTCGAGGGTTTTCATTTGAAGGCAAGGGGGAATTGGCTTCAAACTGACAGAGAATAGGGCTGGATTAGAGATTAGAAAGGAATTCTTCCCTGGGAGGGTGGTGAGGCCCTGGCACAGGGTGCCCAGAGAAGATGTGATCCCTGGAAGTGTCCAAGGCCAGCTTGGACATGGCTTGGAGCACCCTGGGCTAGTGGAAGGTGTCCCTGCCATGGCAGGGGGTGCAACTGGATGGTTTTAAGGTCCCTTCCAAGCTGAACCACTCCAGGATTCAGTGATTACACGGCAGTGATGCTCTGTTACACCTGCAGGGGTGCATGGCTGAGCTCACAGCCACAGCTGCTGGTGTGGGACACACTGAGCAGGAACCCCAAACACCAGGCAAACGCTTCTTGCCAAACTTGGATTTTACCCTAATTTATTTCTGTTTTTTAAATTTTTTATACCCCTTTTACAAAATACACTGAGCCAGTTAAAGCAAGAAGTGGCTAAAAACAACCTCAACCACCCCTTCTGTGTTTTTTCCCCCCTTCTTTCCAAAACTGAAGCGCAAACAGCAGAGGACCCCTGATCCCACAGAACCCACAGGCTGCAATGAGCCTCCCCCATGGTGATCAGTGCCCTTACCTCAGCTCCACCTGAGCTCCTCGAGGGAGGTTTTTATCCTTTAGAAACGGGCCAGCTCGGCTTAGCCAAACTTTGTCCCAGGGAGAGACTAACCAATGTTCACGTGAGTATCTCAGTGTGTTTTGTTCTGCTGTTTCCCCTTTTAGGTGACAGCGAGATTGTAAATAATATGTACGAGACCGACCCCGATCTCCTTGCTGGAGAAAGCGCAGAGGAGGAAACTGAGGACAGTATAATGTCCCCCATCCCTGTGGGACCTCCGTCACCCTTCCCCACCAGTGAGGACTTCACTCCCAAGGAGGGCTCACCCTATGAAGCTCCCGTCTACATTCCTGATGACATTCCAATCCCACCAGATTTTGAACTCAGAGAATCTTCGATCCCAGGGGCAGGGCTAGGGATTTGGGCCAAAAAGAAGATTGAAGTTGGGGAAAGATTTGGACCCTATATGGCAGTACAGAGGAGCACATTAAAGGAAACAAACTTTGGATGGGAGGTAAGCGTGTGGAATGTGGGCACCACATTCCTTTGTCTTCTCTGCCAAGTGTTCCTGGAGCTGGACTGAGGCCTGGTGGCCTGGGGACAGAGGTGGTGACTTTGCTGATGCCGTGTTTCCCTGAGTAACTCCCCACCCCCGTTACCTGAAGGATTTAAAAATCAGCAGAAATCCCTTTTAAGTTCACTTCTTGGGCCACAAAAACTGCTCGAGCACCGTTTTGGAAGTCTGTTTTTGAATGATGTCGGGTCACTTCATCAAGTGCTTGTCATTTCCAAATTGTGTTCGGGAGTTGTCGCGTGGAGGGAATGGGATTAATCGCATCATGTTTGGTGGTTGGGGGTGTTACCTTTGACTCCCAGCCCGTGTCAGCAGTGCAGGCATTAATAACTGGGCAGGGAAAAATAGCATGTACCCATTAACAGCCCCCGTGTTCTCAAGTTCTTGTGCTGCAGCAAAGATGGAGAAATGTGAAAGTCATTTTTCCCCAACAGCTGAACAAAACCCGGCCTTCAGCAGGAAAAAAGCTCTGTCCCACGTCTCCCATCTTATCCTTCTCCCTGCTTTTCTGGGCTTGTCTCAGAAATCATCTTGGCCTCTTCTGCTCTTATAGTCTTGATTAGACAATATCTAGATCTGTAATTATCCTGGAATATTCATTAACAGTGAAGTGTGTCCTGGGATTTCTGCTGTGTGCTCACAGTTCTATCCCAGTGGCCATTATCCAATAGATAATTCCTTCTCTCTCCCCCAGTGCCCATCCCTGCTGCCATGGGAGCTGCTGGCTCTTGTCCTGAGGAAGAGGCTGTGTCTGGGGCAGTGGGGGCTTCACCTGTAGGATAGGTGAAGCCTATCCCAAAAAGTGGGAGCTGAATTTTCCCTCATTTTTCCCTGGATGAAGCAGTCACTTGCCCCATTTTCTCCATCAGCCGCTACTGGGGTGGACTGGTTCACAAAATCCTGGAGGATTTACAGGGTGGGAAATTTTCAGGGCAGCTGAGGGCTGGAACTGTAAGGTTTTCCCAGGAGAAGGCACCAGTGCAGTGACAGAACCATGTTTTCTTAGAAACAGAGGTCAGAAAGGCCATGCTGAAGCATTAACAGTTTTAATTTTCTCTGATTTTATTTGAACTCCTGATTGTGAAGTCAAAAATCAGTGAGCAGTGAGGCCCAGAGAAGCAGGTCCAAATGTTTTTGTTTTGTTTACTTTTTCAATGTGTCTGAAGCACAGGAAACAGCAAAAAGCTCCTGTTTTAACAAGAAAACTCAATTGTGTTTTGTTGCTGTGCAGTAGGAAGTGTCTGAAGAGCTAAAATCAGAGTTTGGTTTAATGACTGAGTGGAGAGTTTCCTTTTCCTTCCATCCTAGTGCAGGGAAAAGAGGATAATTCAGCTGAGTTTTGATCCCCTCTCTCCCCTCCAAGGACATTCCTGGTGTTGGCTTCTATTGTGAATATAATTGCAGAATATTTGATTGGTAGTAGCATATGAGCTTCAAAAAGTGAGTGTGTTGAGGGGGAAAATCCCTTTTATTTCACTGGCAATACATGGTCTGGTTCAGGGGAGCTGTAGGTGTGAGCAGCTCGAGATTCCTAAGGAAGGTATTGATCAATTCCAGGTGTATCTGGAAATAAGGATAATTTTCCTCTAGGAATATGCCAGATTAATTATTTGTAGGCTGCCATGTGAAAGATTAATCCTCCTTTTTTGGACCCAGTTATTGATAGGTGGCATTTATTGTTTCAATGTATATTTTTGTTTGTTATTTTGTTTAAAGGCTGATTTTTAGGAACAAAGTGCAATCCTCACAGGCTGGCAGAAATTGACTGGTGCAAACCTTTTTTTTCCCTGACCTTGGCAAAACGTTGTCCTTGCATTTCATAATTCTGATAAAAGTTGCTATTTACACTCACGATTTTCAGAAAGGTTCCTCACATCCCCACCGCTCTGATAGGAGCTGCGTTTATCAATTCCCGTTGACTTTGTGATACTGTTTATTTTTGTAGTGTAATTGAGCAAACTTTCCCTCTCTGGGCACTTCTGTTCCAGTGGTGTTCCTTTGTCCCCTGACGTGGCAGAGACATTTCACACCTCAAAGGAAGGGCTTTGTCCTCCCTCAGGTGTCCCCAGACCCACCCCAGCACTCTCTTGTCCTCACAGACACCTCTTGAATTTTCCCATTCCCCAGAGCGTTTAAGGACATTTCAGGGCTCTGTTTCTAGAAAGTGCCCTCAGAATTTCATTTGGGAGCAATATCCATGAATCCCTTCATGTGCTGGACAGGAATTCATGGAACAAGCTCTGTCTGCTGGGTGTTGGTGTCTGAGCTCTTCCCTTGGGGTAGAAGGTTGGGAAAGCCCTGAGATGTTCCAGGCAGCTCTTCCTGATGGCAGATTGGGAAATGGGAATTTGGGATGTTCCAGGCAGCTCTAGCTGATGGCAAATTAGGAAATGGGAATTTGGGATGTTCCAGGCAGCTCTACGTGATGGCAGATTGGGAATTGGGAATTTGGGACGTTATAGGCAGCTCTACCTGATGGCAAATTGGGAAAAGCCCTGAGATGTTCCAGGCAGCTCTAGCTGATGGCAGATTGGGAATTTGGAATTTGGGATGTTCTAGGCAGCTCTAGCTGATGGCAGATTGGGAATTGGGAATTTGGGATGTTCTAGGCAGCTCTACCTGATGGCAGATTGGGAAAAGCCCTGAGACGTTCTAGGCAGTTTTACCTGATGGCAAATTGGGAAATGGGAACTTGGGATGCGTTTGCATCCTCTGCTCCTAAAATTGAGCAGGCAAGAAATGGGCACTGACTGGAAAAAAGGGAAAGGGGAGGAGTTTTTTGTCACCCAGTAACCTGTTGGCTTTTGCTTCCATGTGCTGTTTCTTTCAGTGGTGATAAACTCAACAAATCTGAGATTTGTAGGATCACAAGGAATGTTCCTTCTGCAGTTTAACATTGGTTTTTTGGTCAGTATTTCTCTGGAATATGGAGTTTTGTCATGCAGTGACTTGTGGGTTGAATGCTGGTGTAAGACTTCCACACAACTCCTTGCTATGGCAAATTAGAATATATTCCATTTGAATTGCTTCTCATATTAGACATTTATTTCAGGAATGATACCTGTTCTTCACACCCAACCTCTTCTCTATTCATATTTCTCAATTCATTTCCTGTAGTTTATAGTCTTGATAATACCACTGTTGTGCACACCTCGCTCCCAAAACTCTGAAAACCTGGCCTTTGTGTTTGTTTGTTTGTTTTTAGGCGTCATCAATTCCTTAATTTGAACAGTGCTTCTGCCTTTGGCACTAGAAGTTTTTGCCTTTCATCACAGGAAATTTAGTGTCAGGCTTTGACCAAACTGGGAGTTCAATGGAAGTGGAATTGTCTGCAAAGTGGTCATTCCTCAGCACCATCTCAGTTTTGCTAGAAAAAGCTCATTTTGTTGTCATACAGGACGTGCTTCATAATTAATGTCTGTTCCTTCTGATTTCTGCCTTAAAAAAAGAAAAATCAAATTACATTTTGGGGCTTGGAGAATGTGCTGTTGAGGGCTTTGATGTGAGAATGGATCTTTCTCTTCTGCCCAAGGATTACCACTGCAGAAAGAGCTTTCTCTTTTTAAAATCCAGTAAGGAAAGATTGGTGAAAATGAAAATGGGCAGTGAATTGTACCTCAAAGTCCTCAGGAAATTCAGTTTGTGTTTGTTTCCATCTGAACTCCTCGCAGGTGTAACTTGGTGTTACTTGCTGAAACTTCCAGCGTCACTCATTAACAGCCCAAACATCCATGAGAATGCAGAATGCTGTGTTTTATCTGCCATACCTTGAAAAAAGCTGAGTAATTATCTGTATTATTGGTGTTTTTCCTTTCAGGCAGAGAGAAGGGCTGGGTGCTGATGGTTTGAACACGTCTCCTGCCTTATCTGCAGCACAGCCTCATATCTGGCCTCCTGCTTTGCTTTGTGGGATATGTTTTAAAAAAAATATTCTTTGAATTAAACCACACCTATCATTCAAGGGCTTTTTTGGACATGGGATGGCAGTGAGTGATTCACTCTCATCTCATAAAAATAAATAAGATATGTCAACCCTGGCCCCCAGCCCCTCCCAGGGATGATTCAGTGCAGGACCTGTTGGGTGCTTTCCCTCATTCCCTGACACTGCTGTGCTGATGGTGTCATTTCACCTTTTTCTTTTTTTTTTTGTGTGTGTGTGTGCCTTGAAAGACACCACCCCACCTAAAAGCCCTGTGATTATTGAGTGTGACCTGATTGCATTTCTCCTGCTCCCATTGCCCTCCTGCCCGCTGACACCGAGCACAGCGCTGCCAGCACCCTGAATAAATCATGGCATTTTTGTGCTTTATGGCCTCTGGGAGCCGAGGAAAATGAAAATAAAATAATTACATAATGATTTCCATCAGCTTTGGGTAAATAATGGTATTTATCATGGCACTGTTAATTTTCCTAATTGAGAGAAGAATGGGGATCTCATCCTGGGGGGAGATTTAGCACCTGGATTGTAGGAGTCATGATTTTAGCTCAGTTTGCTTCACAGGGTAAACACCACCGATAAATGCAGTTTGTTTTAATTTATATTTTAATTTATGTTTTAAGAGAGGTTATTTGCTGAAGCACAAAGGCTTCTCTCACTGAAGTGTCAGAGCCAGGCTGCTCCTTTACACAGGAAAAATAAATAAATAAATGCTTTCATTTCCTACCTGGGGGGGGGTGAGGTAGAGCCTGTCCCATGGAAGACAAATAAAAAATAGGGAGCCAGCAGCTGAGGATGCAGCAGAGTTCTGGCTCCACGTCTGGGCCAGGGAAAACTGCTGGGTTTTGAACACACTTTAAAGTGTCACTGACTCACAGCAGTCCAACCTTCCAATTCCTCCCAAAATTTAAATTTTTAGCAGGGGGTCTTCTTTATTTTCTCTGCTTTTTAGAAATACTTCCAAGTGCTGAGGGAAATTTACTTTATGTGAGTGGCCTTAAAT